GATTGGAATCGGTGTGTGTGTGATTGGAATCGGTGTGTGTGTGATTGGAATATGTGTCTGTGTGTGTGTGTGTGTGTGTGTGTGTGTGTGTGAGATTGGAATCGCTGTGTGGGTCTGTGTGTTTGTGTGATTGGAATCAGTGTGTGTGTGTGTGATTGGTATCGGCGTGTGTGTGTGTGATTGGTATCGGCGTGTGTGTGTGATTGGAATCAGGGTGTGTGTGTGATTAGAATCTGTATATTTGTGTCAATTTGTGTGTCTGTGTGAGTTGAGTCTGTGTGTCTGATATGTGTGTGAGTGTCTATGTTTCTGAATGTCTGTTTAGTTGTGTGCATCTTGCATTCCTAATGGAGCTGTGAGGAAATGAATGAGCCAGCTGAGTCCAGGAATGTGCTAACTTTCTCGTCACAGCTTTCTGCGTGTTGTGTGTCTGCATTCCTGAAGTTCACTGAAGACTCCCAACCAAGTTTACAGTTTCATAAAAGTGTCCTGTCAAATGCCCATATTCATCCTTTCTCTTTTGCTCCTTCTGATCATGTTGGTATTTCATGCACAGAGACTGGTAGACTATCCTTGGATTATTTGACCATTGAGTGGCCTGTTTCCACATCTCTAGGATGGAGTACAGGTTAAGAAACACAGTAAGGGTGCAACTGCTGACACACTGTAGATTTATCACTGTAATCAAGACACAATTCAGCTCCTTCCAAATGACAAAGAATAATACAGCACAGGAACAGATCCTTCAGCCCTTCAAACCTGCGCTGACACATGATGCCTTTGTAAACCTTTTGCCTCTATGTTGTTCCAATCTCTCTATTTCATGCATATTCATATATCTGTCAAAATGCCTCTTAAACATTGCTTTTGTAACTGCTTCTATCACCTTTTCTGGCAGCATGTTCCAGGCACTTGCTCTGTGTAAAAAAAAACTTGCCACTCATATCTCTTTTGAACTTTCCCCCTTTTACCTTAAACCTATGTCCCCAAGTAATTGACATTTCTACCCTGGGGAGAAAGTCTTGGACTATCCAATCTATCCATGCCTCTCATCAATTTGTAAACTTCTATTAAGCCCCTCATCTTTCAACATTCAAATGAAAACAAAACAAGTTTGTCCAATTTCTCATAGCTAAAACCCTCCAGACCATGTAACATCCTGGTAAACTGTTTCTGTACCCTCTCCAAAGCCTCCCCATTCTTCTGGTAGTGAGGTGGCCAGAACTGTATGCAATGTTCCAAATGTGGCCTAACTAAACTTCTAAACAGCTGAATGATGACTCACCAATTTTTATACCCTATGCCCAAACCATTGAAGGCAAGCATACCATATGCCTTCTTGACCACCTTATCCACTTGTGTTAGAGAGTGTATCTTCAGATTTTTCTGAAGAAGGGTCTAGGCCCAAAATGTCAGCTTTCCTGCTCCTCTGATGCTACTTGGCCTGCTGTGTTCATCCAGCTCTACACCTTGTTATCTCTTATCCACTTGTGTTGCCACTTTGAGGGAAATGTGGACCTGTAGGCCTAGATCCCTTTGTATGTTAATACTTCTGCCATTTAGTGTATACATCCCTCCTGCATTAGACCTTCCAAAATGTATCACCCTGCATTTAGATTACATTCTATCTGCCATTTCTCTGCTCAAGTCTGCAGAATATTTATTTTCTACTGTATCTTCTGGTAATCCTTCTCACTCTCCGCAGCTTTCCCAATCTTTGTGTTATCCGCAAACTTACTAGTCAGACGACCTACATTCTATTCCAACTCACTTAATACATATTACTAACAACTGGGGTTCCAGCATTGATCCCCACAGAACACCACTGCTCACAGGTGTCTAGTCAGAAAAACACCCTTCCACTCCATTGTCTGTCATCCACGACAAGGCCAATTCTGTATCCACCTCACCAGCTCACCATGGATCCCATGTGACTTCACCTTCTGTATCAACCTGACATGAATGACCTTGTCCAAGGCCTTGCTTGAGTCCATGTGTAGAAAATCCACCTCATCAATCACTTTTGTCGCTTCTTTAAAAAGCTCAATCAAGTTGACATTCAACTGTAAGCAGTCTTAAGAACTACTTTAAAAACGTCCAGTCATAATATGTCAAAAACAGCATCAAGTATCAGGAGATGATAGAAATTGTTGCTTACTGTTTCAGCCAAGGTAACTCAAACTGCCCACTTGGGGTTTTCTCCTGACCCCTTACTTATAACTAGAATAAGTAAACCACAAGATTCAGTCAAACTGCAGTGGGTTTTATGTCTTTATTCAAATGAGAAAATATGGTGATTGTGTTTTCTGCCTCAGTGATGCTTCTCCACTGTGATTGCCTGAAACTGGTTAGTTAAGTCTGTAAGGTAAAACAAGAAAGATTTTATTTAGCATTGAAGGGTGTTAGATGTGGTTCAGTGGGTAGCACTTTTGTCTCCTGTATCACAGGTTTATGTGTTCAAGGTCAGTTCCAGAGATGAGCACGCACTCTGGACTAACACTTGCGTGATGTTACTGAGGGAGAGCTGTGTGGACTGGTTGTTGCTGTTTTGAGGAGAAGAGGGAATTTCTCTCTGGTGCCCTCAGTAAAGGTGAAGCCCAGGTCTAGCCAGGATTGAATTGAAGGCTGCAGCCAAATGCCACTTCCTATTATTAGATTAGATCCTGAGGATTCTTGATAAGGTGGATATAGAGAAGATGTTTCCTCTTGTGGGAGAATCTAGCACCAGGGTCACCGTTTCAAAATAAGGGCTTGCAAAGTACAAGACAGGGATAGGAGAATTCTTCTCTCAAAGTGGGTCATGAATCTTTGGAACTCTCTCAAAACAGAGTGGAAGCAGAGTCTGTGAATATTTTTAAGGCAGAGATGGATAAGGAAGTGGGTGGGAGGTTGTCAGCAGTAGGTGGGAATGTGAAGTAATCAGATCAACCATGATCCTATTGAAAAGCAGAGCAGGATTGATGGATTGAATGGCCTACTCCTGTCCCCAATTTATATGTTTCTTATGTTCTTATCAGGTCATTTATCTCATTGCTTCTTTTTTTAGATCCTTTTATAACTCCATACATACTCAATGTTGGAGACTAGATAAATGATCAAGGTCAGTTGAGGTCAGTTCACTCACTGTGGGAGTTGGCTCTGATTCTTGGATTTCAATGGCTAGCTCAGCATGGTGAGCACTGCCCTGTCATTAATGTAATTGACATGCCTATATTCAAGGATTTTAACGTGAGTAACTCTCAATAAAAATGGTCAATATGCTTTTAGAATGCAATTCCTTTCTTCCTTGGGTGACATGCTGGCTCAGTGGTTAGCACTGCTGCCTTACAGCACCAAGGACCTGGGTTCAATTCCACCCTCGGGCAACTGTGTACAGTCTGCACATTCTTCCTCTGTCTGTGTGCGTTTTCTTCAGGTGCTGCCAGTTTCCAACCACAGTCCAAAGATTTGCAGATTAGGTGGATTGGCCATGGGAAATGCAGGGTTATAGAGATTGGGTGGGATGTTCTTCAGAGGGTAGGTGTGGACTTGATGGGCCAAATGGCCTGATTCCACACTTGTAGGGATTCTATGATTCAGAGGATACGTGGTGCTATGGTAGCTATCACTTGATCGGACATAGGGAATAGTTTGATGTAATTGAAAGGCTTATTTGGGCCAAGGGAGGAGTAGTTAAGGGTTAACCAATTTTTTGAGAGACTGGATTCAGAAAAGGACATCAGGCTCCCTTCAAGGAGGGGCAGTAATAAACCAAGTTGCATTTTCCAGGTAATTTAACATCTTCGCAGTC